ATATCACATTTGCTTGGCCCGAAACCTCTTGGCGCCCGCGACACAGGCGTTGGTGACTTAAGGTATTTTGACGCTGGCGTCTGTGGCGCGAGCGCCAGGAGTTTCGTAAAGCACGGATGTGATATTCATATTCAGAGGTCAAACTGCCTTTGGAGACAAATTTTTAGCCAATTCCACGGAGGAAAAGTGGGTCAGGGACTGGCCAGGATTTCGGATGATTGGGGCAGTAAAGAGTAATTGGAGCCAAAAAATCACTATTTATTTTACGATGTTTCACTTCAGGCACATTCCTTGACAGAGCAGTTCGGACGACGGGAGGGCATTTTGCACTTTTGCTATTTCCCATCGACGTGTCGACCCATCTAGAGAGCCTTTTCGTGAGTTGACAGGCTTTACCATGATGGCTCGACGAGGCTGCTCCAGCTTCACAAGAGTTCACAGGTTTCACCAGAGTGAGACTTGTAAACCGGAACTAGTGAAGCAGCGAAAGTGCAAAATGCCCCCCGTCGCCGAATTGAGCCCCCTAACTACCTTATTTGTGGAGCTTCCTTGGCTCCTTTATCCATGAATTCCGGTCACAATTATAGTTTCTTTCTTTGACGCGGCTCCTCAGTGAGTGACGAAGATTCTGCGGTCGTTGTGTTCCGATAGTGCGCCACCCATAGGTCCCTCAGCCAGTTTGGGACCACATTTACCAGCGGCCCTGTATCGTATGAACACATGTGTGATGCAGTTTGTTCATTTCATGTAGGATCGAGCTTTGCAACCCTTCCAGCATCTGGTCTCTCGCGCACGCATAATAAGTCTCGCTTCTCGGAATACTCGCCCAAAGCCTTATTTAAAACGTCTTCCGCAGTCTTACGAATTGTAATCAAGGGATGTGTCTTCTAGGGTGAGATAGTAGAGACCTTATTAATTAGGCTGATCCACTGGGCACCGTCCACTCCCCGCTCGTTCGTTCCTCTCCCGTTTAGGCTCACATAGTGATGGAGAGCATACTCTACCAGAGTCTTGCTCGATATCTGCCTTACTCGGATGAGTAGCGGTGCACAATCACTGAGGATCTCCTAAAGATGGGAGAGAGAGGGGATCAGATGCTAGCACAGTTCCTCAAGAAAAACGTCCCCATAGGGATGATGTGCCCTGAGAAGTAGGCCAAGTCGAGTGTTGAGCGTTACACCACAGTCGAGAGATAGACGTTGCAGGCGGGGGACATACGGCATCCACACAGGGACAATCCATTTCGACGAAGCAGTGCACCTGAGTGTCGACTCGCTCTCATCTCTCTCTCTCTCTACTCTCTGTCTCTCTCTCTCTCTCGCTCTCTCTCTCTCTCTCTCTCTCTCGTCAACTCGTACTGCGAGCCGCCACCGGATAACGCTCTACATTCGCCCAACTCGGACTCTATGAAACGGTTCCTGCTTGTTCGGATTTTTATCACACAATTCGCTAATAGTAGCGAAACGTACAGTGTTGTTTCGTGTTGATGAAAGGGCGTGTCGTCGGTCGGGATCCTGTCGCAGTGCCAAGCCCGTTCCTTACCCAGAAGTTGAAGCGAGCAAGCGACAGTAATGTATCATATCCTTGTCAAGTTGTTTCCCCGCACTGTTGTCGCTTATATCCTTTCACAATGTGGTGAACGTGGTGGTTCGGCGGCGCGCCATACCCATCCCAGATACGCCCTAATCCGCAGCGAACAAGTCTGTAAGCACCGGACAAATCCTTCGAAGTGGAAAAAGCTGTCAAGTTTGCAGAACTGGAATGATTAGGTTTTCAGTATTTCTTTTCAGCTCAGTCTCCTTCAATTCCCGTTCGTGCTTACTGTCAGCCGAGCAAGAAAGATGAGGGTTGCTATCACGAAGACATATGAGGAGCTTATTATGCCTCACACTAGACCGCCAAATTTTTGGGAGGTTAGATTTGTACTATATTAACAGCATACTTCTAGCAGTTCAGGTGCAGACAGATACCATTTTCAGATATTCTATGACGTTGACATTTGGGCTATTATACTAGCCAACTCTCTCCAGGATATTCCCTTTCTACTAGTAAGCACATTGACTTGATTTTGAGTAAAGTTGTAATACTGATAGGTGTACCCACACTTCAGGTCCGTTTATATTTGATGTTACAACACAGCCTCGTCACCTACACAATGATCTTCTTCACTTGCAAAAATGCACTTATTATTGCACTTCAGACGTACAGGTAAGGCAAGTGCCGGTGACAAGATGTGGATAGGACGGGGTGTGTAACTTTAGCTAAGTCAGTAATTAGGCTGGCACATCTCGCACCTAGTGTGCCTTGCCAGTGGGGAGCCCTTTCATAAGTGACTGACCCCTTGTTATAATGCTCATCTCAAAGCATAACGAGGGACTGAATCAATATTCATTAATGTCATTTTATTAGGCTAATATTAATAATAACATCGCTGTACACCTTGATCTACTGCAGCAGCAGGAGAAGCTGAGGCATCTAAGGTACCTGAAAGATGCGTTGTGTGTCTGCAAAGAGGGGAGGAGTGCAACAAATGTAGTAGGCGCAGGTTCTTTCGCAGAAGGCATCTGTGGTAAAGCTGAAGACGTATAGAGTGAAGGAGTGGCCGCGTGCGTTGTGCTGTAGTAAGTGCCTGTAAAAGATCCATATACACTGTATGATGGAGAAGGAATGGGCAGGTGTAGTCGGGGTGTCGATCGTAGAGGCCGTGTACATGAAGGTTCATGGAGTTGTGAAGTGTTGCCGTGGAGGGTAAGGGGTTGGGGAGTGTTGACATGATAGGTACTGTACATAGACGCACTAGGTCCTGCAGAGAAGGTGTGGCTGAGGAGAACCGAGTAGAGAAAGTCGCCGTATCAGCCTTGAAATCATGCTGAGACACAAACACGGAAAGGTGCTGTTCAATGCAATTCTTCAGCCTAAACACTTGTTGACCAGAATTGACCTTCGAAAATGATCTGATTACAAGAATCAAAAGCAAGGTGTCTAATGATGTGCGAAAGGTGATCTGCTGTTAACTAGTTTGCCTTTAGCTCAGTTCGTAAGTACTTCTGTCATCCATATAGCGTAGAAGGTAAGTTCTTCACATTTTCCAGACCCATTTTCCATTCAAGCGTGTGTTTCTGAACCTTTAAGTGACTTTAATTCTCCTAACTCTTGAATTTCCCCTTTCTTCTATTTATCAATAATATTCACTGATGGTGAGCTGGAAATGCTGGTGAGAGGCACCAGCCAGCGCAGCCAATTAGGCAAGGTCGCCCCACAGGCGATCTCACCGGTGTCCCCACAGGCGAGGGCGGAAAGGTGCTAAGTGAGGTCAACTTAGCTAAATTGACATTCCCGGCATTAAGGACATATCACCTGCGCTCCCATTGGTCCTTAGTTGTTCGAGCGGGCCTAATAACGTCTTCATTCGTCTCTGCAACACGCTAGAATTGCCCAATGATTTCTGCGCTGGAAGGAGACGGTCTGCCATTCGTTAACAGCTTTCACGAAAAAGCCTGACCATCGCGTAGGTGATAGTGCAGGTGATCACTCTGGCTGACGCTGACCGTATCTGCTTCCGAAAGGTCCAAATCTCCGGTGAATGGACGTGTGAATATGAAAATGGGTACCATCCATATCTCTTAAAGGTGAGCTTAGACCGCTATTCACCGCTACATTCACAGAAAGTTCGTGCCCGTAGGCAGAACAGTAGAACCCGTGTGAAGGCTAAATATTAAACACTGTCGCTGATTCTCCCCTTGAACGAAGTCTATGAAGTGGACACATTTTTCGCTGATTACCAGATTCTCCGCCAGCACTGGGCACGTCTAATAAGAGCCTCTATCGACTATACCAGTTGTTTTCACAATTATTTGTTGCTGTGTAGGCTTAGAGTCAGAAACATCGGAAAACGGAGACTCGAAAACAGCTGACCCAGCTGGCGACAAACACATCGCCTTAGCGTGACCATATTTTAGCCGCCCCTGACGGAAATATATGAAGATCTGAATCAGTGCAAGCATCCCTGATGAGTTTCAATGGAGGGGGGGGGGGGACAGATCGCGTTTTGTGTTTGGAATTTTGATTACATTTTTGATTTTTCTTTTCCCTTTATGGTCCAGTGAAGTAGCAGTTTTACTAAATCTGGTGCTTGATGCAATGTCTCCGATATATTCAAGTATTCCAGGGCTTTCATCCTGCTCAACGACCGTTACATTCGACCGAAACCTCCCGATTTCGACATGCTCGATTCTCATGCTCACCACACTCGCGACCATCAACGGAAGCCAACCTCCCATCGTAAAAAGAGATCTAAGCGTGATAAATCCGAAGAACATCAACATCTATTCAGTCCCCGCCGCGAAAGAAGTCACAAACGAGAGCGTCGCAGAATGGATACTTTAGAAGAAACAACAGCGTGAATATTCATGTGTAATAAAACATTTTCTCCAAACAAAAACAATTTATGTAACACAACAACGCACTTTAATGTTGCTTCTTACGGAAGGAGCAACCTTCAGTCAAACGAGCTTTTCCTCCGGTCGGCGTGCACAAAACGGTATTACATCCAACGCAAACAACTACGGTTGTGGCATGTGAAAAGACCGTTGTAATCTGAAAAAAAGTGTATGATTCAGAATAGTAAACTAAAGTCGCACTAAAAGTAACAGGGCGGGATTGTTCTTTTTTTTCAAAGCCTTTCACATACCTAAAAAATGGTACTGCGCTTTTCCATGAATACTGTTTCAACAATGGTTAAACGAAACATCGCAAAACGAATTGGGCTTTCAAAATTTGAATGGCAATAAAAAGGGCATCAGAACATTGAAAGAGACCAGGCTTTCTGGCAAATATTTGACGACTGTTCTCAAAAGTAGATCCACAACAGCACGAAGCTCATTGTATTCAGGGGAAGGAGAACGTTCGCAAAGCTATCCCATCCAGTCACTGCAGGTTCCTTTACACTAACGTAGTGATAGAGAAGTAGTCCGAAGGCACCACCCGCTTCAAAAATGGTGATTTGTAGGGCACGGTGACAAAAATAAGTACTAATGGCAAAATAATAAGTAACATAAAATGCGAAGAAAAAAAGCATGAAAAAATACTTCACCCGATTGACAAAAAATCTTCACCGATATACGTATTATTTAAGCCCCACGCTGGAACCGCGCGTAGCCAGTACATAAAGCGAAGAAGAGGTGTAGATGAATGGCAGGTTTTCTCACTTGCGCGTGTCAGGCACTTCTCCTTATCACCGCACTGCACTATAGGTCAACGAACTCGCGAACAGCATAAGTATCACTAACCGACGAATACGATCCCTATGGCCTGCAAAGCTAAGTTTTTGTCACCATTGCTTATCCTGTACCGTGCACTCGGTACCGCTATAATCACCCTACCACCGGGCAAAACTGTATAAGCTCTTTCTTGCCCCCCGCTCGCCTCGTCCGTTGGGCAAGAAAAATACGAAGCCTGACTTACGAAGTGAATTCGTATTTATCGAAGAACGCTCCTTATATCGGTTTTTGTTTGTCCTTGCAATGTTTACCACCTCACTAAAAACTCTCCACGAAAATTGGACAAATAAGCAGATAAGGGCTGGGTTGTTTTGAAGAGATAGGAAAAGCGCAACTGACCCTTGCGAAGAGAGAACTTTCGGAACGCTTCCGCATAGTCGGCTTACGCGTACAAAGCATTAGCAGGACGAAGCATTGGAGCAGTCAAAGCAAAGGCCCCCGATACGGTGATACTACCCGAGTGCGGTGCTCGTTGAGCAAGCTTCGTTTTATGTATTCTGCTTCAGTCTCAGAAAGTCTTCATGATGTGAATTGTTGAGGTAGGCTATATGCTATGTAAGACTCGTTTGGTTTTTGTTCCTTGGTAAAATCTCGGAACAACCAAGGTCAAGAAAAAGGCCAAAACAGCTGAGCGTGTTAACCGGCGATTGCGAAGCAACCGGCCCCTGCAAAGATCGGCAGTATCTAGCTGAGTTAAAATGTTGCGGGCGCCGCTACCATGTAAAGATGAATGCGGTTGCGCAGAACATTGTATTCATATGGAAAGCTAATTTGGCGAGATCGCAGACGAAAGCAGAAAATCGAATACCGATGCCGATACCGCTAAGAAGGTCGAGTTCAAGGTGCGTAGCCATTCAATGACTGTATTTACTATTTATTTATTACTTTTTCTTGCCCATACCATGAGATCTTCTCAAGTTTAAAGTCTAATCTGGAAATAATTATTGTTAGTTGCCGAAAACGATTGCATTACCCTCCTCCTTAATGAACTCAATGTTTTTTGGAACCCAATTCAAAACACAGTAAAAGCGCAGATCATGTGTAACACATATGTACATCAGGTACCACCAATATGATCACCCACGAGTATCTCAAAAGTAGTGTAAAAAGATTTCTAAGAAAGTCGCACAATGCTTGCATAGCATGGGAATAGGTTGAAAGCAAAAACAGAGGGGACGAATGAGGAAAAATATATAAAAAATGAATGGTAGATGACTCATGAAGCATCTGTTATCAAACTCTGAACTGATCATTTCGCACAAATGATCAATGCAGCGAAAACCGTGCCCCCTCTAATGCTCGATTAGCAAACAGAATTTCGCGACGTAGCTGTATTAGACACTGACAGCGAAATTCAAAATAAAAAAATGACTTCACACAAAAATTTCACTGCAGCAAAAGTGACTTATCCAGACTAACTAACTAACGAGTTTGAAGGAAATTATGTATATGTATATAACGATGAAGGTTTTTTTGGCAAAGCTTCTAAAAATGACACCACCTAACAATTGAAATTTGACGACCTCACAATTTCCTGCTCTCACATGGTAGCCACACCAGCGAAGAGAGCATTTTGGTGCAATAATGCGAGCGATGCTAATAAGGTGGGAGAGCACATTCAAAGAACTTGTGCAAAAGTGGGATTAACTCATTCCCAACTGAATTACCATACTCAAGTTGGTTCACCCACACGGAGATCTTTCCTGCCTTGACGACGGGTGTTTTATACCAGGAGCGGCTAGAAATGTTCATACATTGCTCATATATTTCTACGATTTTTTTGTGATGGACGACATTTAGAGTGGAAAGACGAAAAGACTCTGACGGGCAGTTTTGTTGCCATGTCCACGAGGGAAATTCCCGGGTACACGGGTCAATCCCGTTGTGCAAAAAAAAACGTTACGAAATACAGTACTCAAAACCAAGAGTGCATTACTTTCCTCAAGCTTGAAATGCGTTTGGCACTCTTTAAAAACATTCCCTTTCTGCAAGAGCCCCCTTACCTATTTTCACAGCCTCGCTTAGCCAGGTACTTGTGACAACTGTATGATGCCCTATAGCTGGTTAGCGCTCATACAATAAATCTCACATTCGATCTATGAAGTTCGCTCTTGAGAAACTTTGAGCGCCGAAGACGGGGTAAAATGATGTCGGTTTCTTAAACCGTGTCATTTCTTTTCCCTTCTAACTAAACTGCATCCTTGAATTACTGTGACCTCTTACATTCAAACTGTTAACCATAAAAACTGGTTCATTCAGGACGGACCCTTCACCCCCTAAACATTCATTCACTGAATTACCCTTTGTTCACTCCCACATTTCAACATCGAGGCCGCCGCTTTTCTTTATCTGTCTGCGCTCTGGCCTTTCACGGTAGGACCTGGCAGGAGGTGGTCACGCAGTCCTGCATCCTACACACTGCATAGAACGACCGATCGATTGCCCAAGCGCTCTCTCGTGTCCCTTTCACAGCTTCTCTCACCAAATATGTGCGTTAACCAACAAACACAGCACCAGTTACAACAGATGACAGAACGTTAACAACACCAAAAAACGCCAGAGTGGCCACACTGGTTGCGATGTCAAATCTGTACCTATTAAGCAGCAAGCCTTGTGAAAAGCTCCCAACAGTACTCGCGTTGTGCAAGAGCTTAAGAACTCTTTCTTGACTTTTTTTCACAACTCAGCAGCATAGTTGTGATAACTTTCGGAACGTGAAGTGCGGCACTAAAGACCAGTTATCATGTAAAATCTACTGCTGCAGTGAGAGTTCCTTTTGGTTTGTGCGTGCAGAAGCTTGTTAGATGGGACACTTATTCGAGCCTCAGTTCCGGCAGAGTTTCGACCGAATATTCGCTTTCAAGAGACCGAACAAAATTCCACTGTGACCTACCTCACCAGATCTCTCATTAGCTCTGTTTCACAACTAACAATGCCGCGGTTGCTTATTGTTCAGTGAAGGAAAAGCTGGAGTGTTGAAGTCTGCCTCTATTAGGAGAATTGCAAAATCATACATGAGTAGTACCAAATATTCTGCTCAAGTTATGTTCCCCATGAAGCCCATCTCAGTGTTACTTGCCAAGTTGGGAAATATTCTATCATTAAAGTGTTTCTCAAGGAAAAGAAACCGTAGCGCATAACCAGTGCTCACCAATAAATGAAAGGAAATTCAGAGACCTCACAAACTAACCTTGAAACATCCTGGACATTTGACGTCCATAAAATAACTGTTAGGATGCTGTACAAGTCGTTTCAGCTTATGGCGCTGACGCTCAGTTTCTGGATCGGGGTGCAACAGATCGATAGCCAAAGGCATGATTCGTCCTAGTCGAGCTGGCTTTGCTAAAACAAAACAAAAAACATTACCCTTAGTAAGAAAAAGCAAACCTATCACCTGAAGATTGAAATCAAATGCGAACGAAAGGTACCAACTAGCACGGGGACGTAACACAGCAGTGAATGATGAGAATACGAAAAATCAGTGCACTTTGTATGCGGCGTAATATTGCACAACCAACGGCAACACGCAGACAAACGTTTCGAAATCGCGGGAAATGCGAAAAATAACAATAATCAGCAGAAGCCTACTTTACCAGACCGAAACCTTGCTCTTAAAGGCTGTAAAAGATGAGCGAAAACGGGACCCTTTCTTCGAACCGAATAAAATGACCTACTCAAATCTTTCCATGAGCTTAGTTTTTTGTGAGAAACATTCGCATAACAAGACCTGATTTTTGGTAAAATACTACACCGGGACATGACTCAAGAAAATAATAATAAAACGAAATTCTCAAATAATTCCTTGTATTAATAATACGAAAATAAGTGAAACTACGTATCGTCGTGGTTAAAAGTCGACGCGCAGTTAGCGTTTGTGGCCGACCACTTGGCAACTCTGGCCCGATGGGCGAAGATATGCATCCGCGCAAATTACCGGTCGTCGAAAGAATGATACCACAAATTCATAGTACAAAAAAAAAAAATCCTTTTCAAGTTCGCAAAAACTTGAACTAAGGTTTTCTTCAATGAGGATAAACACTAAGTGAAGTGAGGAGTGACTACTTAAATGGATCGTTGTTTGACGACGCCTATTAAGCATCGTAGTTTGTGTTTCAATGTATGAATTAGATTATTTTTTTGTTTGGATGCGTTTCTAATCAGTCAGCGAAAGGATTTGATTGATTCTCAACTAGCAGTCACGTGCAGCATTATCTCGAAATGCGGATTTCTGTTGATCCTTATTTGCTCGTTGGAGTCATTCTAGAGCAAGTGCTTGTTTTTTTTTCAAATCTCCTTTGCCTTCCTTTTATGGGGATTTCGCAAGTGTTCTCTCTCGAGGTTTGTTCACTATGATGTCATGATCAACTGCCACGAAATGTTAATTTTCATTGTGGTTCAAGTTTCAGGGATGGCGCAGATGTTGAAGAGGTCATTTTCTGTGAGCGCCACCGCTTTCTCGGGTCTCGTCAAGGCTCCCGCGCAGGTAATAAATTCATGATAACCTCCCTACAGTGATTAAGATTACTGCCAAATTTATTGCGCTCCATGTTTTGTAAGAACCCTCGTGAGATTTTCTTTGAACGTCAACTCAACTCTTATACGTTTCTTCAGTGAGCAGTAGAGGCTTAAGTCGTAGACTTCTCTATATATCCGATGATCTCGCACTTCCAGAAAGGTTAGGTAAAGCCTTGAATTTTATCGCCCTTTAATTCCATTTTTATTGTCGTCATGCGCCACTGTAAGGCCGCGTTCAAAGCTTGCGTTCGTGAAGAAATGCAGAAATGCCGAAACTGCAGAATGCGGAAAGTGCAAGACGAACATTCATGTACTTTAGAAAGAGGCTCGAAAGTGTGAAGATCCCATATTGCCGAATTGGACAGTGAAGAACGGAACTCGAAATGCCGAAAGTGCGGAATGTGCAGAAAAGCAACCGATAGTATCGATTTTCCGCACTTTCGGCATTTCTGCATTTCTGTTGATAAGTATCTATTGCTTTTCTGCGATTCCGCACTTCTGCACTTTCCGCATTTCTGCATTTCTTCACGAAACGCAAAGCTATGATGCGCGCCTAATTTTACAAGCCATGGGGCCGTTATATTATAGCCTCAGGAGTTGCCGCTGTGGGTAGGTCTGCCTAAAGTTTTGCCCCAAGTTCCTCTCCTTCTCTCTCTATTTCTTCTCTCTCTTTCTTTCTCTCTCTCTCTCTCTCTCTCTCTCTCTCTCTCTTATAACTGGTTTGAATGAATCGGGCATGGCCCATGCACCGCATGCATTTCAGAAGCTGTATTACAGGTTCCAGAAATAGTTGCTGTGTAAGGCTGGGTCCATATATTAAGTCGGGGGTTTTGATCAAGTGTACGTGTCGACCTAGCGTGTGAGCATATTGGGCGTTTTGTTCAGACGCTAGCTTTTGTTCCAGAACGCTCAGAGCTCTTGATCGATACCTATAGTTTCCTTTTCGCCCAAAACACTCAAAACGTCGACAAATGTGTAAACGCTGCTCAGAGAGATTAGAGAAAAAGAGAGAGTCACATTAAGGTTCATGGTATCGAAGGACGCTATGCATCTGCCCTCTACTCTGCTGCCTATAAACAGAAGAGTCTCGAACAGGTGGACAAGGATCTTCAGAAAATCCGATCCATCTATCAGCAAGATGCCAGCTTTAGAGTGAGTGCTGCTGTTCCTGCTTCTTGAAAGCGTGTCCGCTGATTTTTCCTTTTGAGGAGTTCGTTCTCAATCCCACTCTCAGGGGACAGAAAAAGAAGGTTGTTACTTTGGAAATCGCCAAAAAGCTCGGCTTGGCTAAGGAATCGACTAACTTCCTTGGTAAGTATTATACTTCCCTACGTCTCTCTGCCTCTCACATGTGCCATTGTTTTTTTTTTTGGATTTCCGCTGTCCGTCGTACCTGCGGATGAAGGGCGCGTCAAGCTGGATAGCCGCTTTAGCGATTGATGGGAAACGAGTTCGACGTCGCGCAAAACCCATGCCGCTTGACACGCCCCTTCTTCCGCAGCGAACAAGACTGTAGTTGCGGGTTATTGTTTCTTATTTTTCCTGACAGTTATTTCCTTTCATAGGTCTGCTTGCTGAGAATGGTCGTCTTAGCAAATTGGAAGCAGTCGTTTCATCCTTCGAACATATAATGAGAGCTCACAGAGGAGAACTTTTTGTTCAGGTGCTTAATTTTTCGTAGATTTGCTAGTGTTTCTAACGATTGTTACTGATTTTCTTCCCCTTTCAATTCAAACTATTCGGTGAGAAAGTCTCTAATTCAGAGGGGACCTTGCTTGTTGATTTATTCGTAAGATAAATTCAGTGTGTTTACCTCTTTTATCCAGGTGACCTCTGCTGAACCTCTGACCAAGTCTCACGAGTCCGCTCTTAACGATGCGCTTAACAAGGTTAGAGTTCAGCATTACCGGATCGATTGTTGTTTTTCAACTTCAACCATTCTTTCCTTGTGCTGATACCCCTTTTTCAGATGGCAAAATCTGGGCAAAAGTTGAATGTGACTTACACTATCAAGCCGTCTATTATGGGTGGTCTAGTTGTAACTATAGGAGATAAGTACGTTGACTTGTCGATCGCGTCTCGTGTCAAGAAACTCAAGGAAGTTATTATTGCCTCTGTTTAAGAGTAGTTTTGTAGAAGTTATAAAGTTGTAGAGCGATATGAATACTGTACTTCTCATGTCTCTGCAAGGGTTTACGTGAATGCACCCAAGTGTTTGTTGAAATTGCTTGTAATATCGGGATAGTTCGGGCTCGCTCTGATGAGGAAATATGCGACCACAGGAAGAGTTGCAACTTAACAGAATTGGCCAAGAGGATTAATCTGCGCCGCGTCGTCCATACTGAAGCCGTTGTGTAGTGGAAGGTGTAGGTGAATCATCGAGTATTAAGAATGCTGAATTGGTGATGACTGCATAATTTCCGAATGCTTATGTTTGGTTTGCTCCATCCTATTTGTACGTCTCTCAAAGAATGTCCCACAATCAAAAATGGTGGGTGGTGAGGCTAAAATAAGGATGTTAAGGTGGTGATCAAAATAGCTCCTAGTTTTTTTTTTGTTTCGAGTGACGAGCGACCCGAACAGGCTAGTTGGGACTTTAGCCTGGTGATCTGCTTCGTTTTCCAACAGTGGGCGGGGCCTCTACGAATTGGGCGGAGCTCCCCAGCTGCTGGGAGGGGCAGTGTCGAGCAGTCCAAAAATGGGAATATTTTGAAAAAGGATTAGAGCTCTGCAAAAAGCCGCAAAATAGATGCGGATCAGGGGACGGAGCTTAGTATGTCGGTGTATAACACAGTCTATGAAGAGTAATACGTACGGTGTATAAATGCACGTCTACAGACTTTCGTTCTGTGAAGAGTGGGTGTGAAATCAACAAACTTAAAAAGATTTATAAAATTCGAAATTCTTGTATGCGGGGTTGGCCACGTGTCGATGTACAGTCCTTTTCAGTCAGTGTGTATGTGCGAAACAGCAAAAGACAAGGTCATAGAGGCAGCAGTTAAAGGATAAAGGATAAAGTCTTCGCCGTTGATCAATCCCTTTGTGGGATGCGGCACGCATTCTACTTCCATTCAGAATCGTAGTGGCTTATTGAATGCGATGTGGCCTATACAATGACTTGCGGGGCCAGCCGATGTACAAGTCAGTGTTTTATCCTCCCAGACGAATCTGGTACCAATTTACCGTCCCCGGAGGGTAGAAGGCTTGGTTGGCCTAGGCGGGAGTCGACCCGGGATTTGAACCCAGGACCGCGCGAGTGGTGAGCGCGCCACTTGTCACTACACCACCTCCTGCCCAGGCGGCAGTTATGAAACGAAATTTGAAAAGATCGCGCTGATAAGTAGGCGTGGCCGTCGAGGCGGGGCTCACGGTGGTTTCCACTGCGGATTGGTTGTCTAGTCTGGAGAGGGGGTGAGTTTGCTTTGGAAACTGTTGGATCCCTGCTTCTGGTTGTCTTCGGGGGTGTCGATAAGACGATTTGCACTGCACGGTTTATCCGGCGAGTGCACCACACAAAATTCTAACAATCCTACCGCTCACCTCTCTTAAGATAGGACCACAAGAGAGGTGTCCAGTATCAAGTTTTCAGAGTTCATCCTCTGATACAACAGGAACTGGTGATTTTGGTCCGAAAAAGAGATTTCGCTTCGAGAAGCGGTGATTATAGTTCGAAAAGTGGTGAATTTTAAGCGAAAATGGTATAGCTCCTTCAGTGGATCACCACTGTGCACCTATGATTAGTGCGTACAACGCAATTGTTGTAACTTGAACAAGAAGGTGCTCGTCAGGACGGACTGTGGCAGGAGCGCGCAGGCCGTCATTACCTTCACATCGTCACATAATCTGCACAGGACAACTCTCATAAATCGCTCATGATCCGTGACGACGCCAATAACCTACTCTGATAAAATTGGTAGGCTTTTGCAATGCAGTTACACATCTCTGCTTGTCTAGGTTCGAACAGTCCTCAATCACTTTATTACAAAGAGAGTGTGTCCAAAGTTACTAAATAAGATGCAAACAAGTCCAAATAAGATACAATCAAATATGTGGAAGACTCTTGAAGATCAACAGGAAACAGAACATGAGAAATACAGTAACAGAAAACAGAAATCACACGATCAGTCATATCACCAGTCGGTCACATGCAGCTGATCGACGGACCAATCTTCAAATGAGCCATCTGGTAGATATCGTCGAACAATGATTGGGATACGGCGATGTTTCAGTTCTTTGCGAGCAATTTCCAATGGATCTGTTTCTTAAAAAGTACATCATTAAAGGATGAAGGATAAAGTCTTCGCCGTTAATCAATCCCTTTGTGGGATGCGGCACGCATTCTACTTCCATTCAGAATCGTAGTGGCTTATTGAATGCGATGTGGCCTATACAATGACTTGCGGGGCCAGCCGATGTACAAGTCAGTGTTTTATCCTCCCAGACGAATCTGGTACCAATTTACCGTCCCCGGAGGGTAGAAGGCTTGGTTGGCCTGGGCGGGTGTCGACCTGGGATTCGAACCCAGGACCGCGCGAGTGGTAAGCGCGCCACTTGTCACTACACCACCTCCGCCTCGTATACATCATCACTTATTAAAATTACACTCGTTATACACTAGGCACAATTTCTATGAAACGCGCATTCTGAAGGAAAAAAGTTTAGCTATGAGATCATTCATTAGTCCCCTCGTAGTTACTGTCTAAATTTTGAGGACAAACTACACTCATCTCCGTGGATTCCATGAACTGCGTGAATGAGATCACAACTGCTCAAGCAGGCCATTTTTTCCACTAGAGAAGGCGGAAGGAATGGGTCTGGAGATGTAACACCAGAGTGCTGCGCCCGCGCTGCTGCCACGCGCCTGACTATAGCCTAACGCGTAACTTGTCTGCATCCTCTCACTTCTAACTTGTTCTCTAACTCTTCAGCTGCGTTCATGCATAAGGTTCCGTGAGTCCGCACACACGAATGAATGCACAAATCTAATCTGCAGAAGAAGGATAAATACGTAACGATTAGGAACCGATACCGGATTGATATCGAATTCCGCGGAATCTCCAGAAAAGCACAGATGAATTTCGCTGCTGCTTCCAACATCGTGCACTCTGCGGAGTCTGCAGATTCCGCGGAACCTTCGGATTCATCAGATCGATACGTATACATTCTTCTTCTCCAAATCCCGCACACTGCGCGGAATTTTTTTGCATTAGCACAGCCTGACCACACGATCGCTGCGAGGTTTTATTATCGACGTAGGTGCTGTGTCTTGAGAATAGCGCGGTGGAATCGAGGAGACAGCACTCGGGCATCACTACTCTTCAGCACCATTTTCACAGGGTACAACATTGTTGTGTGAAACACGTAGGGGAGTCTATGCGGGTTTTGATCTACGGGGTCGATCCCCGAGGTCCGTTGCGGCGGGGTCGGGGGTTTGTACAGTAATCAATAGTATGAGGTTACACGGATTTTGCAGTGCGGGTGGCCTGGAGTGACCTTTG